ACGTCAGTAGCAGGGGCCTCAGAGTGCTAGCAAGGGCCGCGTGATAATAGTGAGGGTCGCGGAACCTACGGCTGAAGCTAGAGAATCGTAACCAAATTTAAGCATGCTGGTCCCACCGTTGACACGTGGCGCCACATGTTAATTTCGTTTATTGACCCGTAACATCAATAAACTAGAGGGGTCAGTACCTGTCAAAAATTTGCAATTTGGTACTGTATCTTCTTGATTTGGGGAATAATCAGCTTTCTCAACAGGTACCAACTTGTTTAGGAATTCTTACCTCTTTACGAGAAATTTATTCAGATTACAACTCATTAACGTCCACTATCCCATCCACACTATGGAATAGCAAGGAAATTCAGATTTTGAGTTTAGCTCATAATTTTTTGAATGGGTCGCTAGCACCAGAAATTGGCAACATTAAGAGCATAAGAGGGTTATATCTATCTGGAAATCAATTCTCAGGTGATATTCCAAGCATTATAGGACAACTTCAGAATTTGGAAAATCTAACATTGTCAAACAATTGATTACAGGGTACTATACCTCAGTCGTTTGGTAATCTGATTTCATTGAAAATATTGGATTTATCAAAGAACAAACTCGATGGTGTAATCCCCAAGTCAATGGAGAAACTTGAATACCTTGAGTATTTCAATGTTTCATTCAATGAACTCATTGGTGAAATTCCAAATGGATGGCCTTTTAAGAACTTTACCTCAAATTTTTTCATTGGAAACAGAGAATTGTGTGGAGCATCTCAATTTAAGATCAAGTCATGCATAGGTAATACAACTCGATTATCAAGCAATACCAAATTCTTGAAGTACATTTTACCATCAATTGCTGTTGTATTGAGTCTGGCCATTACTGTGGTTTATTTGATAAGAACCCATAGTAGAAATACATTTCTTCCTGCTCCGTCTACTTCCCCTGTCACTATCAAAAGAATTTCATATTATGAAGTACTAAATGCTACAAATAAATTTGGTGAAGAGAGACTAATTGGCAGAGGCAGTATTGGTTTAATGTACAAGGGAATATTTTCAGATGGAATGATTGCTGCTATTAAGGATTTTAACCTAGATTTGGAAGGTACAAACCAAAGTTTTGATATTGAGTGTAAAATATTGTGCAACATTCGTCATAGAAATCTTGTCAAGGCAATTAGTAGTTGCTCTAACCTTGATCTTAAAGCTTTGGTGATGGAATATATGCCTAATG